GAGGTAGGAGCGAACGTCTTGATCTAAAGCTGGCCTCCAAGCTGCATCTCACGCATTCCCGACGAGTGCGCTATCCATTGCGCCATCAGAGCCTCTTACCCTCGAGCCGGTTAGCCGATATGTGAAGCCCTGGAAAGAGTTCACCCCTGTATTTCCCTGTCCATATTGGCCCTGGTGGCATAAAGGATAGTGTACACGCCCGAAAAGAGTGAGATGCGGGTTTGAGCCCCGCCTGGGGTCAAGACTTCTGCTCATGACACTCTTGTAATTCTTGAAATAACTTTCGCAGCGCACACTGAAGGGCATTAAATAGCAATTCTGATGATAAAGTAACTATTTTCTGACAATTGCTTTCCCCTTTTTTCAGGAATTCCAAGATTATCTGATAAAACGCAAAGAAGTGCCCTGTTGTTCTCTACTTCGACAGCGGTTTTCAGGCTGTGGGTGCTCCTAAAGTGTCGCATAGAAGCGGGTGAAGAGGAAAGTATGGAGGAGGGGGGTGGATCTAGTGGAAGCTTTACACGGGCAATCCTTAGAGCCTCGCCAAAAGCGCGGAGAATCTGAGTGGGGCCTGCGCGTGGAAGTCTCCCAGCCCAGCTCTCATCCGTCAACGACGCTAGTGACTTGCTTCCCCTCCCCCCCCCCATCCAACGTAGACTCTGCCTTAGATGTGCTTGTGTTCAACGAGCAAAAGTGAAAATTGAAATGGTTCTTTACCTGTGTTGTGCTTGTGATGAAGGGCGATATGATGCCGGTTCAAACTTTGTCATCTGAACGAATCTGTTATGAAGGACAAATAGACGACAATGAAAAGTTCCCTTCCTGTCCTATCCTACATCTTTTTCGACCCTTAACCCATCTAATTTCATAAGAGGACCAAAAGAAATCGAGGATCCGTCCCCTATTTTGGAATTTCAACTTGGGTGAATGTGATTGGACAGCACAGACAAAACACCAATAGGAAGCCTAGAACCCACGCGTCGGACGCTTTCAAATCAATAAAAAAAGAGCAAAACTTGTGAGAAATACTTGAACTCCATTATACGTCACGATTTCATTCGGTCTCGAAAGCGAATAGGAGTCGAAATGAATGCAAATTGGTCTATTCAATCAATAATGACGTCATACTGGATTCTTCGAGCAGAATCTCCAAAATGTGGCGCTTTCTACAAAAGCAATTCACTCACAGAACTGTTCGGGATCGGCTGTTTAGGCAATTCAGGAGGAACATCTTCAGATCGTTCTCTGCGAGGACTACCGTAGGTGGCGTAGTGGGTCCGTGGTGGGGAATCTAGAGCGGTACGAGCGTCAATAGATGTGAAACTCAGAGAGAAAAATGTAAGTAAGTCTTACCATTCGCTTGTTTGTGTTTCATTGGCAATGCATAGCAGTACTCTGGCTCCTGTTCTATTTCACGTGCTGCTCTTCTGTACGATTGCGGTGATTGGTTAATGTTTCTCAGGGAATCCAGTGACCTATCACGACGCGAGTCAGCTCGCGAAGCTGAACGAATAGCATCCGCGGAGCGATCACGACGACGCGACTCGAAACTCTCATTCGCTTGTCGCATCTGACGTTTCATCACAGGACTCCTGAAGAACTTCCCCTAGTTCGCGGAAAGATTCAACAGTAAGTGTCAAAGACTCACAGCACTTTAACCTGTGTAGGAGTAACTTGTATGTCAACCTTCTTCTTGTTCACAGGTGGTAGTGTCCTATCGGTTGGGTAGTTGTAGAAATACGATCTAAAAAATCCACTATAGTTTTGGTCTTGACCAAAAGTTACGATGGGCTTCAAATCTACATTTTTCGCATTTTATTGGATACAACTGAAAGTTACTGTTGCATCCTCCCTGTTGAGAGAAGCCTCCCTCAAAAAAGGTAAAAGGGAAGTACAACAAAGAAAGTAAGGAAGCAGGTCTGACTCCACCCATAAGGTCACTGTCGAGGGTAAGTAGGGTTTTTTTTTTGAAGGTTAGTGGGCACGATTGCTAAGGGCGGGCAGGTGTCGCTAAATTCATTAGTGGAAGAGCTGAGTGGGTGTGGCCAAACGTATTCACGAACCCCTCCCACTAATGACTGGCACCAATCGCCTGCCTTCAGCAATCGTGCCCACTATTTATGAAGAGTCCAACACTATTTCTGTAATTAGTCCCTTTCGTGTGGGGAGAGTGTTAGGAAAAAGGACGTGGAGTAAAACATGCACAACCGGCATCGGAAATCGAAAAACGCGCTTTGGTCTGTAGTCGCCTATATCGGCCGTTTTCGGAGCCCCATGCGAAAATACAAATAATTGCTGTTCACAGAGACGACACAACAGCAAGCATAGTAAAACGTGTCTCAAAAGCATGGTCTACGCTGATGGTGTGGGCGGAGGCAGTATGTGCTATTTCGCCTAGAGGTGATCCTTCTCTTCTTGTCCTCTAAAGGTGACGTGGATGGCAAAGGATGAAGCATCACATGATGTTTTGGCCCCACCCATACGATCAGCGTAAACTGTGCCTTTGCATGGACGATGGCTGGAATTGCTATTACCTCTTGTTCTCCTCCTTGCCGTGTTCAATTCAGAAATGACGTCATGAAGGAAATGAGAGCCGCTAGGGCAGTAGAGCACTTTGTCTGTCTCTACCTCCACACTCCAACCGCTGGGATTTCCGATTGTCCCTCTTAGGCACGGAAAAATGTACAATTTACATCAAGTTTAAGGGCTAAGTTGTACCTGTGCCTCAGAACCCTATTCACTAGTTCTTCGTTTGTTATCCAAGGATGCGCTTCCACGGTATAAACTTCACCGTCCTGACTTGTCACATCAACGGCTGCATTGTGAAAACCGCAGAGTGCTCCCATCTCCAGACGAGAAGCAGGCAGGAGTCGAGCTGTCTGCAAGAAAGGGTTCCTTCAAAATGTCGCTTATCCCTGAATTTTGATGATTTGAGGTGGGCAAATAAATGAGACAAGACGGGTGTCGGTCAGGAGACCCTTGCGGAGGTGCGGCGTCTTAAGAGAGATTGCGCGCGGCAGTTTGTTCCCAGCGGAAGCGGGCTCCAATCTCTCGCAGCGCCTCGAACGTTTGCTGACCGACACCCATGTGAAGCAATGAAACGATGAAGCCTACGTGTGAAGAGTTCAGCATTTTAGAAAGTCCATGCCCGAAAATTTAGGGCTAAAACTGATAAAGTGGCACACTTGACGTAGCAGATTACAATGCGTTACAGTACGTACCTGACTTTCCAACATATTCATTCTCCTTGCAATCGTATTAATCAACTGAGTTTGAAGCGGCAGTCGTTGTTCACCACAGAAACTAAAGCGGTTACCGTTGAAAAAAACCGAACGTGAACAAAAAATATCAAATCTCTGTGCGTGGTAATCCCTCTTTCCGATATTAGCGCCAACTCTAGTAGTGCGAGCCCAGAGCGTTTGAAGATCTACACGCGCTTCCGTGGACCCTGGTTTACGCCATGTTTATGGTCAACGAACTACATGATACTTGTGTGAGGTGAATGGGTCCGCAGCTAAAGCGGCGTGCCACTTACTACAGTCGCAAGCGGAGGCCTGTGATACCCAAGTGCCGTCTCGATACTTCGCCCGCGCTGCCGCATGGCTAGCGACGCCTCTAACCGTAGCCGAACGCGCTGCTTGTCTGCGCCCTCTCACTTCTGATTGTTCTCTACAGCTGAGTTTCGCCGCGGGATCATGGTATCGACGCAAGTGCTGCAAATCGAGGATAGCGAGGGCAGAGTATGAAGATGGCACCCGGGCACCAGTTCCCTCCAGCCCCGTTCCCGTGGTTTTTCGATCGAAGAAATTAGGACAATACTGCAACTATGACCATTCACCTCGCACATGAAAAAGACAGTCTTCGCAGGCGACTCGAGCACTCAGCGTGGGCTTTGTTTAAGGCTTATTACCTTATTAACATTGGTAGAACATTTTCAGTAGGAGCGAACACTCCGACTGCTTGAAGCAGTAGACGGCAGCATCGTGTTGTCGCTTCTTTGTCAGGATTACGGTAGATCTGGTTGCATATTTGCACGAAGATTTCGTCACGTTGACATGGATTGTTAATACCCTGAAATGCTCATAAGTACTTCACCAGTTTGAAACTTTCAGTGAGTTTTACTGTAGTACCAGAAAAATGAGCAGAGTGGTGAGCCGTACAGAAATAAATACAAAGAAATAAAAGTCTGAACATAACCGCTCAGGGATTACTTACTTGTTTTACAATGTAACGAGCTAAATCGTCCAGTTGTGCTCGAGTTAGCGCTTGGTCATTCATGTACTTCAAGATGAGCTTGAATACTTCGATCGATAGACGAAAATCGAGGTCGTTTTCTTTATGGAGGAATGGGGTGAGAATTGGTTCACGTCTTGGCTCGAGAAGATGCCCCTGAAAATCCGGCATTCACGGTACAGTATATTAACGTGCATTTCAAGCTAGATAGGCAGCTAGTCTGAGGCAACGGATTATATGACAGAGCGGAAATCGGAAGGTTTGAAGGGCATGTTGAATGTTGCAGCTGCCTAGCTCCCTAAGTTTCACGGGATGGCAAGGGCCAAGGTTCCAGGGGTGACTGGGGGTGAACAGCGCCGTCCAGGTATTTTCTTGAGAATGGATCCACCTTCATTCACTGGGCCAGGAAATCCCAACACTACCCTAATCCGTTTATAGACACTGGACACAATGGCTGGGGGCGGGCGGTTGCTGCCAGCCATTGATGGAAGGGGTGCGAAAGGGCCTGGTCACACCCCAATCAGCCCTTGCACCCTTGGCATGGTAGCAACCGCCCGCTCCCAGCCGTCGTGCCAATCGCCTTGAATGAACAACTTTTGTCTGGCGTTCACCGCATAGGCGGTAGAGCAAAGCATTTCTCCCGTTTCAACGCCTTTTTTTGCTCCTTCAAAGTATCATCTATTAGTGAAGTCAAACAGACCTTGAAGTTTTCTTCAGCGAACTTCTCGATCGTCACCGGTTCGATGGTACCAACGCGGCTTTTCAATTTTATTGGCAAATAGTCGGTAGTGATTTTCATGTTCCCAGTCTTAGGCTTCGATTCGCTGAGTGATCTCTCAATCTCTTTATTGGCAAGATTTTCCACATCGAAGCATCCCAGTAATGCACCTGGACATTTCTGAAATACACCACTGATTCTGACCGTCATAAAACATCAGCAAATAGGAAGCTTGACTTTTGGATTACTGTAGGAGAAACACTCACCTGTTCAGGGCTGCTTGACATCAACGTCTCATGGTAAGCATTCAGGCGACGATTTCTCTTTGTTTGATTGCTGAGATTCTTGAACATCTGCTCGCGAAGAGCATTACACTCCTTTCTAAAAGACTCAATTCGCTACTGTTTATAGGGAGAAAAGCTCCACAAGAGGAACGAACACGTGGGTCGCCTTGTACCACGTTGGCGTCAGAAGGTTTCAAGGTAGGGCCTCAAAGACAAACTGCACACTCATCTCCGAAGGCTGTCTTTGCCATGTGCGAAGTGAATGGGTCAGCAGCCGCAGTAGAGGAACGGTACTGAAGGTAGCGATACTCACTGCCTTCTCCACTCGCAACGCTCACAGGTCCAGCGACCTAACCACCCAATATGCTTCTTGTCTCTCCCTTGTCACTTCTTGTTGTTCTCTTCTGCTGAGTGCGTGTTTCGTCGCAGGACCCTGATATCGGCTTAAGCCCTGCGCACTGGCGCTGGCGTGGGCGGAGTGTGGAGTCGGCGTCCAGCAATCACGACCCTCCAGTTCCATTCCGGTGCGCTTTCGAGCGGGAGACGGTGCACAGAAAAAGTATGGGAACGTGGCTGGAGCCCGGACGCCGTCTCCATACACCCCCCCCCACGCTGCCGCAGCAGCCAGTTCGTCGAACTTAACTGCTGCACCTGAGAGTTGTGCGGCACTCGGCCGTTACTACCACAAGCCCCGTTACCCTGCACATTTGAGCCGGGGAAAGGAGCACGTTACTGGAGCTGCAAACCCATTCGCCCCGCGCATTGCAAGGATGGCTCTCGGAGATGGGTGTACACTTCCTCTCCGATACCGCTTACTGATGGGTGGACCAACAGCATCACGTACTCACCTCGCTTTCCAACCTCGAAGACCCGCTTGAAGTCGTATGATGGCGTGGCGCTTACGTAGATATCTCCTACGCGCAACATATGTGCGCATTGTTTTTTGTATTACGTGAGCTGCATCGCGCTGCGTTTTCTCTCTGATCGTCTGTAGCCGATCGGCTAACCGGTCGCGTAGGAACACGTAGCTTGTTCCTGAAAAATGGCTCCAGTTTATACGAAGGGGAGGTCAATCGATGTATAATTGATAGCATCATAATCAGTCGGGGCGGTATCAGGAGGGGCGAAATGAGCCCGCCTCCGCCTGCCTGTCTACCATTGGTGATTGGTTGATTGTTTGGGAGGAAACAGCCAAAGCTGAATAGGCCGCAGATGCCATTCCATCCCC